TCTATGTTTACTATATATCATCACAAGTACTCTGGGGTTATTTGTAACATCTACCCGGAAAGACGCATGACTAAGAGAGGCAATTTTAAGAAATGGAGACAGATCCATGCCTTTTATATATCAATGGATTCATGCCAGAGATGAATTGAGACGAGGTTCCTCAACAGAGTTAAATAATTTCTAGCCAGTCCTAGTAGAGCACAAATCACTGTGCCCTGCAGCGGGGACATTCTCACCACGATGCAAAACCCTACTACACGTTCTGCTCAATGCTTGTGTCTTTCCCTTCGGAAAGAGCTCAGTTCAAAACCAGTACAAACTCCTTTATGCTGTGGATTTGAAACTGGTGCCACAGCTCCAGGAAGGCAATCATCGCTCAGAAGGACCTGCTAAATCCACAAATAAAGCCAGGGCTCTGCCTTCAGAAATGAATTCTGTTGTGCTGGATCAGATGGCTGCATGTGGTATTACCATGCCTAATCTAATTTTTGCAAAGAGTAACAATCCAGGCCTGCAGTTCCTGGATGAATGGCCTCAGGTCTGCCTATCTACATCAAAAGGGAGCTTGTAGATATGTGTGATCATGAAAATTTCCAGCACAGGGTAGTAATACCTAAAGGGCGAACAGAAGTCTCACTGGGAGGACAGGACCCTTGTGGGTCCTTCATGGAGCACCATAGGGACTGTCAGTGTTGTGCTTTCTACTGACCACGCTGCCCTTCCTTAGGGACAATTGCACCTGGGTACACAGATCTCTGGGCATCATAGGATCAATGAATACATGGAAAGGAAAATTGATTGCTTTCAGCCTAGCTGGCTACACACACCAAGTGTTATCAGGCCATCTTCACCTTCATTGCTCTGTCTCCATCATGCTTTGTTGTTGATCTTTTTTTTCCCCAGCTCCACAAAAACACCCCATTTTGGAGTGACCATCAGACGAGACATTAACCATGACCCTTCTGGTTGTGGAATACACATGGAAATGCACAGTCCGAAGGGCTGATTTTTGTCTTGAGGTTGGGATTTATACAATGCTTTCCTCCCTGGAAGGTCTGAGGAGCAGAAATGGTGCTGTATGACACCTCATGGGTGTCCCACACCTTTCAGCAGTAAATCTGTTTCTCCAGAGGCAGGAAAAGGAAGAAGGCACACAGCTAATTATACTCTGTGGGGCAATTTGCCTTTTTATTTCCTGATGTATTCCTTGACTGGTGGAAAATCACTCTTGGCAAACACAAAACTTACTTACCTTACTGCCAAAAGGTGCATCTGTAAATTATTAATCAAGAGCACACAGAACCACAAAAGGTGGAATATTGAACAAAGGCTCAACTGACACTCTGGAAGTTGAAGAAGATACGGAAGACTCCCTTCTAATTTATTTATTCCTTTTCTGTTCTGTTATCCTGATATGCTGCTTCCAGTTACCACTGCACCCTGCACTGTATGGTATTACGTGATTTTGTTTTCAGATTGTTGGAGATAAAGTTGCTTCATTATTAATATATATGCACTGTGCATATCCATAAATATTGAATATATACGTGTGTGTAAACCTACTAGAAGTGTTAATAGTTAAGATAAACTAAGTCCATTATTGCAATGAGTGACTATTTCTATGACCCTATTTGCAATAAAACCAGATTCAATGATATGAGAAAATTGCTAGGTTTCAAAATAATTGAACCAGGCCAGACGAATCCCCACAAAGGCATCATTTACAAAGTACTTTGCTTGTCTAGAATATTTATTCCCGCAGAAGGAAATGGAAAAAGAGTTCATATGGTTACACAGCTATCCTCTGAGTGTAAAATTGTTTTATCATGTTATGTTTATTTCCTAGACATCTTCCATTGGGGTATTGCAGGGAAATACTGGCTGTGCAGTTAGTTTCTTTGTGTGGACTGTTCATATTTATTCACTGGGAAGTCAATCATGTTCTGTTCAGGCTTGTTTTGTTTTTCTGCTGAGCAAACACTTAAGCAGCCCTTTTCTTGTAAAAACTTATTTGCATATACAATGTGCACCATTCAAAGTCAGCACTACACAGACAGTTGAGATGTCTTTGCTTTCCCTCCTGTGTACCATGGGAAGTAGTGGAGTTCTTCCTGAAAACACTGGCGTTGCTCATTAAGACTGCAGTATATTGTTCGTGTTTAAGGACTCCATCAGCAGTTACAGATATTTTTAGTTTGTCTTGTATTGAAAGCCTGGATAGATTTTTACTATTAAATGTTCACAGCAAAATGCTTCCAAGCAATCTACAAAGAATTACTCCCAGCAATTATCCACTGAATAAATCTGAATAATGAATACATTCACAAAAGTCACTATCTATTTGTGAACAATTAGCTGAAAGAAATAGAGGTGACGCTCATCAGCTAAATAATTAATTTACTAATTCTTTGTCCAGCTTTGCTTCTGACATATGTTGCATGAAATGAGAACAAAGCTTAGAAGAAAAATTACTTTAAAAGAAGGGCAATGTTAAAGGAAATTCTTCCATCTTCCAAAGCAGAAATTACCCCACTTTTTTAACTATTATTTATTACCAGTGATTTCAGAGGCTAGTGAAATTATTTTCCTGGAATCTTTCACTTCATGCATTAAACTGTGTTTTATTCCTCATCTATATCCAATATTAGGTTGTTAAACTGCAATCAAAAGCACTTAGTAGGAATGGATCTGTCCCTGCTATGAGATTTGGACTCCTGACATTTTTATCCACTGGAACTGGAGTGCCCAGGTAACTACTAACTATTCAAGCATTTACAACATTTCTATCAATATAATTAACACACTGTGGGATAAAAGTGAGAATGACACTATGCAAAGATCATTCCTAACATTTGGATAGCAATCTTTCCTGAAAACATTTCTAAGCTGCCCAATAATTTTTCAATAAAATTAACATCTAAGGGGGATCTAGACCTGAAAAGAAATGGTTTCTGGCATTGAAGATGATAAATGTTGTCTCCATATGTCCATTTCTTGAAAACAACAACCCCCCTGGACTTTTTTGCAGGGTTTTTTTAAAGAAAATACCAAAAAGTTTCCAGCAAAGTGTTAGAAAAATGTGAGACCTTTCCTTCAACAAAACCAGATTCAGTGAAAAAGGTAGGAATGAGGTTTTTCATTCAGGTCTAAAAGCTCACGAGCCCACTGCCACTCTCTGCAGGAGTAAGAGGCTGCACAAGCCCTCTTACATGCCTTGCTGGATGACGCTAGCAAAAATAAATGAGAAAATTCACATGGAGAAAGTCAAAGCTGGATGATGGCTTCCCTCTTCCCACCTCCATCAGTTTTGCTGGTCAAAGTAGGCAGGTGAATTCCTTCTTATATTAATTAATAGCAAGTGATTATCACAATAGGAGGAAGGAGGAACCAGAGTTGAAGCTAGGGACCACGGTTTGGAAGGCTTTGTCACCTTTCTGTCTAGGATCTACTATGAACAAAATTTTGAAGAATGACTTTTCCCGACCAAAAGCTCAGCTTAGGTATCCCAAAATAACTGCTGTGAAACACTTGCAGGATACACCAGAGAGGGGATTTTGAGAGCGTTTCACAAGTCCTGCAGCTGTGAGCCGGTTGCAGCATGAGGAAAAGCCCTCCATCACCCCAATGTACAGGAAAGAGAAGGTAAGGTAACTCTTTCCAGGTGGCTTTTAGATATGGTGCGTTCAGTGAAGAGCCCCAGGCCAGCAAAATCAGTTCTTCTCTATGTTGACGCTGCTTTCACCACTGGAAAGGGAAGGGCTTGAGGACAGCAGCCCCTGCAAGCACTTCAGACCCGTGCAGAGGCTGAGCTGCGGGAGGGCAGCAAGGCTCCAGGGGGCTGCTGACCCCCCATCAGCCACAGATGCCTCCCCTGCTGTGCTGGCCCACTTTTCTCTGGGGGAGGATCCCAACCCTTCCCATCTACTCACCCACTCCCCAGGTCCCTGAAAGGAAGATTAAGACCGTGAAGCCCACAGAGCTGCTGTGCCCTCTGGTTCGTGGTGCCAATGCAAACATCTTGCAACCCTCGCTCCACTGGGTAGGTGCAAAACGAGGGCCAGTCTGAGCATGCCATGGAAGAATCCATCCAACCACCTGGAAAATAACACAAAACTGGAGTACTTTAGCCATGTCACAGCAAATAAATAGCTCCAGGAAAAGAGCAGCAAAAAAAGCTCAAGCTTGTGCTTGTAGAGACAGTAAACCACCATATTTCAGCAGTCACGGCAGGTATTTCTGACCGGAAATTGTATATTTGATGATGACCAGCCTTCAGCATTTGACAAGGGGCTGTTAAAGCCTCTTGAACAGTAAATCACCTCTCTTCCTATCAATAATCTTATTATAATATCTGTAGAAATGTCTAATATTAAAATCCCACTTTATTACTATAATAATGGATCTAATTTGTAAAACATATAAAGTGAGGCCATAACTGTACTGGAGGGAGATATATGTGATCCCACTACATCTATATCATTTCCTGATGGCCTTACCCATATATTTTGAATGGGAGAAGGATTAAAAGCAATCCCACTTGTAAGATTTTTGAGATTGGGAATGGCTTCTGGAAAGGAGATCAACATGATCATGGAAATGCAGCAATCATTATAAAAAGAACAGCCTCAACCTCATGTTTACGCACGTAAATACGTAGGTGTTTATTTGTGATTTGCTCCATTCAGGCCCTTTCCAGTTGCCAGGAAAGCCCTGCTTTCCAGCTGCACAATCAGTATTATCACTATGTGCTATTTTTGGTGACTGAGTACATTTCAAGCAACGTCATCCTTCCCAAGCCAACACTGGTATGAAGGGCGGAAACTCTTCTTTCCACTCCTCTGTCATTTGCTGCTGCTCCCATCTGCTCGGTGTCACTGTCTGCGCAGTCCTCGCTGCAGAGGGATCTCCAGACGCTTTCCCTGCTCCTTCTCATTTTCTTGAGCAAGTGGCTTTCCAACTGAAGCTTCGTGTGGGAGGCTTCATGTTGGCATCCAGAGTACATGTCCCAGATATGTCCAGCCCCACCTTCTAGTGCAGAGGAGCTGCCGGTAAGTAATCTTTCGATGGGCGATAGAGTCCTTGTGTCCAACACCTGGAGCTTTTCACAAATGGGTTGTTTTTAAGGGCAAATAATTTCCCGGCTAGCACTTCGGTAGGTTTCCAGCTCTTGTCACAGTATGGTAACACTAAGTTTCTGTCTGAGGGGAGAATGCATCATTTCTTCTTACACTGTGTAGCTTTGATTTCCATAAGTTATTAAAGTCTAGTAAATACTGTAAATACCACTTCCTTTTTAAGTTCTTCCTTGGCTAGGTGCTACCCAACCAGCTAGTTGTTTAATGTTTTTCTCTTCTGGTGTGATGTTGCTATTGTGTTTGGAAAAGCTCCTATGGACAAAAGCCACACTTGGGAGTTATAAATCTCTTCAAATATAAGGTTCAGTTTCCTTGGCTGTGCCACGGGAGGAGCCCTCCTGGCTAAAGCTACAACCACTGCTACTCTGAGCTGGGCTGTGTCTCCCTGAACATGTTTCAGTTTACACAGACTAATTAAATATTCATTATGCCAGAAAGTGTGTGTGTATGTGGCTATAGCAGAGTGATTAGGGTACTCACCTGGTAGATGAGAGACCCTGTTCCCAGTGACTGCTCCAATGAATATTTAAGTATTTCATATTAAGTGTACATTGGAGCAAGGATAGAAGCAGACTTCTCCCACCCCCAAGGGAGCACCCAAACACCAGGCTGTAAAGTCATTCTTTCATTCTTTCTTTCTTTAGCTCAATGAATATTTAATTATTTGAGGCCAAATGAGACAGCTTCAGTGACAGAGACTGAGATTCCCTGCTCCCATGTGTGCACCATAGCTCTGATGATGAGGGCGTGCATATAAGAGATGTGGGTTCCTATTCCTTTGGACTTAGAAAGAAGTTGAATCCAGGTTTCCCATACCCTGAATGGGTCTTCCAGCTTCTGAGCTGCTGAATAAAAACCACAGAGCTCCAACATACAATGTCCCTGGTCATGAGACAGAGGTGGTATGGATGCTTGTATGACCCAAGGTCAGAGAAAGCATCCTTATCAGTGATAAATTAAGCTGAAATCTGGTTCATAAATCCCTCAGGAGAAGGTATCAAAGCTGAAAATGTTCATGGCAGTTCCTGCTGGCTATGTTATGTGCCTTTCTGAGATTATCCAGAGTGTGATGCGTAAGGAAACCTACTTCTTCTCTGTAGTCTGGGGTCTGACACCCCCAGACTGTGGTTAATGGCACTTAATCCTGCTTCTGCAGCCCAAGGAGCGGGTGTGTGAAATGGTGAATGTGGGGAAAGCATCCAAAGATAAAAGGTGCATGGCAAGGGTATATGAGTCTAAAAATGGGCAAAAGTAGCAGAGATTAAGGAGTAGAAAGATTAAAGCAGGAAGAAAAACATAGAGGAAGGAGCGTGCAATCACTGAGTGGGGAAATGACACACAAGGGAAAAATAAGGAGCAGGGACAGTGACCAGAAGGAGCAAACAAATCATCTAAGAAATAATACTCTTTACCTAGCAGAGGAACAGAGGGAAGGAGGAGAAAGGGGTAGGGAAGATGACTTTGATTTTAAAGCAAAAATAAAATGTGGAGAATCTCTGTCACCCACTTAGGTCTTTGAAAAGTAGGAAAACTGCCATCTGGTCTCCACTTCCAGAGGACAGTGGGTGTCTCTGAACTGAGATGCTTGGGATTCACTTTGGGGAATTGACCGTGGGAGCATTCCTAGGCAGAAAAGGGACTTACTACTATTATTGCAGCTCTGTTTCTTGTCATTTGGCAGAATCCACAGCAATCTGATTCCGTTATCAAAGACTGAGTGTGGCTTCCAAGCAAAAACCAGAGCAACAATGTAATTGTGATATCAAAGTGCAAACAAATTACCTTCTCATACCCATCAGGATAGTGTCCAAACCCAAAACTGCTGCATAGTCTCAGTTGTTGAAATGGCAACACTACATTCAGAAAGGAGCTGCTTAGCTCAGAAGAACATTTCAAAGGTGCTCCCAATGATATGGTTCATATATTTCATATCACATTTATGTCCGTCTACCCCAGGGCTGTTGAGCACCCACCTTCAGTAATTGTTCACTCCAATTCAGAGAAATCCTTTCTGAACACTTTGCTGCCTGTTACTTTAACCAACCTTTTTCCTGAGAAAACAGTTGTGGAGTACTGAAGACCTATAACAATGAAGGAATATCCATATTGTCTTGTTATAAATATTACAGTGGTCTGACTATAAATGTCAAAACAGATGTGTTTCATATCATGTCCTTCGAGGGACGTGGTAACATAGCCACAAAAGCGCAAAGCTTCACCCAGATGCATTACTCCGGTTTGAATGGCGACGTGTTTTGTGTTTTGATCAACTCTTTAGACAGATGACAGTAGCTATCCTCCTTCAATATTGAGGAAAAGGCCACCTGTGGACCAAGCTGTGGGGGAAAAGCGGAAAGCAGAGAGAAAGGTTCGATTCCGTGAGCCAGAAGTCATTGAATATGGTATGCTCAAGCTATTAAGCCTTTTGGCATGAACTTTCTAGCTTCTAACATCCACCCTGTCTGTCCACATCAGCTTCTCCCTCTGATAATGTTATTCGTGATTTTGAGCTCAGCATGGAACAGACGACAGACAGTTTTTGCTCTGTGCTCTGCAGAATTGCATCTGGTCCATTTGCCTGCCTGCCCTGGGAGAAAACAGGCTCCTGCATCGCGTTGGAGCAGCCTCAGGGCTGTTCTCTCGGCGAACTCCTGAGTCAGCCCCCACGGGGATCAGTGTAGACCATGGCTTTGGCTGAGCCCCAGGTCTACCCCAGAACAATGCTTCCACTCACAGAAAAGGATCCCAGACCAAATTTAAACACGCTTATGTCATTCTAGGTAACCAGAATGTAATGGCGGGGAAGGAGCCAGCCCTTTCATGTTTCTGAGTAGCATGCATGCCATGGGATACAATAGCAAAGGTCTGAGCCTAGCTGACCCGCTGGGATTAAAAGTAGCCAGGGTGTAATCATTTTTGCCAAGGAGGGCATACAAGCAATGATACATCTAGCATAATCTCTGGTCTTTCATTCATGAGCCAAAGTTACAGTTTGCTCAGTGTAGTGAACTGGGAGTGACCTTAAGCAGAGGGCTAGCACAAGGATCCAGTTTGCACTTCTGCACGTGCTATATACAATTTATAACCAAATAAGAACTGTCGTTTCATTCTGAGTTCCACAAATGGACCCAACTAAGAAAAATTGTATTTATTGTTAGGGAACTAAAATTGTGTGGGTTTGATACATCAGTCAGTAAAAACACAGGTGACAGAATGGTAAAATTTCTGTGTCAGCCACCTGTTTGGACTGCTACTCAGCTTCTGAAAACAAGACTTGGCATCTGCTGATGTGTCTAAACAGACTTCTCATTGGTTGTGCAATACGTTGTTTGTGGTGCCTCCTGATGCAGGAGGGAAAAGCTGTTTCTTCATAAGGTTGTTGACACGGCCTGGGCTTTCCCATCAAACTGAACTCCTGGGAAGACTCAGTAAGCCAGCGCTAAATTATTTGAAGCTCACCTGACTGCTCAAGAGCAGGATTTTGATGAGAGCTAATACCTCCTTCGGCTCCCTCCAGAGTCCATGCCCTCACATCAGCACTGATAATCCTGCAGCCAAATCCAGCCTGGGGGGAGCAGGTTCATCTCCCAGTGGCTCTGAATTCAGCACAGCCATGCTTGAGTTCCAGGGAGCTGCAAGGATGGAGAAGAATGACTCTTTTACGTGAAGGCATGAGAAATGTCACAACCCATAGTTAGTACTCTGTCTTGCAAACAGCCTGTGATTTAGATGATTTGGTGTTTGCCCACACAACGTTATTAACATAGAGGCTGGTAAGATGAAGGTTGCTGGCACCACTGAAATTTTTCCATTCTCTGGACTTTTCATAAGGATTGTGTCTGGGCCCCGGCTGCCAAACAGAGGCAGTTCCAGGATATTGTTGGATGAAAATTGTATCTGACAGTGGGCTTTGGTGTTTTAACTTTCATTCTTCTCTCAGCCTGCTGGTCTATCTCCTTTCCTTTCTAGAAATGATGTGGAATAGGGAGGTCTTTTCTGCAAGAGCTGACTCCTGACCTCCCTGCAACAGCAGCAATCTCTGTCTCTGACCCCCCGTCCCGGTTTCGGCTGGGATAGAGTTAATTTCCCCATACAATAATTTTTTCTCACTTTCCTGAAGTGCACCTACATCTGCATGTTTGCATGGAGTGGGTAGATCCTCATCTGACATAACTCTGTGCAGCCAAAAGTGGTGTAAGAGGTGGCCCAGCATCTATAAGGCAAGAGGCAATTTCAGAGACACTGCTTGGCACTTGCTTTTTTATTCATCTGCTGCAAAGAGGCCTTTCCAGGCATGTAAGAACATTTTCATTCTGTTTTCTAGCCATTTCCTGCTATGACTACGTAGTGGGTAAGTTGAAGTTTCACATTATAACTGTGAGCCATCCATGGCACTAACCTGAGTTTGCTCTCTGGCTGCTGGGATGCACTGTGCAAATATGTCCTCCGTATACAAAGCATTTGGTACTGTCAGTGGTTGTTGCTTTTTGTTCTCAGCATATGAAGCACAAGGTGTTGATAAGGTCTGGTGCAGTATTTTAAACAAGACATCTAGTAAGACAAATAGTGGAAACAAAAATGAAATCCCTGAAGCTATTTTTAATTTAAATATAATTAATATATTTTATGGCAATAGAATAGGTACAGGTTTTTCACTAAGATATGCAGGGAAAGCACCCCAAGCAAAACAATAGTTCTCCCTGCTGACTTTCATATGTGGGGAAGAGACAATTCATTTATATGCTGGCAGCAGGGTAGAAATAATAAAAATAATCTGTTTTTTCTCTTTTGTTTGCAAGGATGTTTGAGGCCAGCCAGCCTCACAGACGCTCAAGCAAATGTGTGTGTCTGGATGTTCTTATGATGGTGATCATTTCTAGAGGCTCTGGCCAACATCCAGCCCCTGCTGTATGTAATGCAGTAAAGGGAGAGGGGTACTTATATATATGCATTTATACACACACACACAGAGCCATAGTGTTGGGATGCCAAAAGGCCTCCCAAGCAAATGTCCCCATATCCCCTAGCTGTCGCTATTGCCCAGGAAAGAGGGGTTGTATGCTCATGCCAATGGCAGACTCAGCTAAAGCAGTTATAGGGCTAGGAACAAGGTAGTATAGGCAGGAAAGATCCAGGTGAAAAAGAAAAGACCAAATATCACTCAGGTAACAGTGGAAATGTATGTCCAAGGCAGGAACTGAACCAAAATCTCCTGTATCCCAGTCCAGTGCTTTTCTCAGATGAGTTGCCTTTTTCTTAGACTGGGCACATGTCTAGGGCTGAGTGTATTGTTCCAACAAGCAATTTAACTAACAAATTTAAGCATTAATTTTCTATTTGTAATCTAGAAAAAAAGCAAGTTTGCATTTAAGCGCATAATTGTACTGATGTGCTGAAGCTGTTGTGAGCACGGCTCATGACTATTTTGTGGGTGGGATTATTCTTCCACATTATTTTTTTTTCTGTTCCTGCACTGAACATGCTCCCTAATGGAGAGGATGTAAGGAAAAGCCAAGTTTGCATTTGAGATCACCCAGAAATTTCACATGGAAAGTAACTTTCGCAAGAATGAAAAAGGTTATAAGCACTTCATCATAGAAAAGGGCTGATGTGAAAAGCTGTTTAGCTTTCACAGAAAAGTTTCACTGTTACCAGGTACGCTCGTCAGCCGGGCCCCATGCTTTGAAAGGCAAGTGGTCACCCAGCTGAGAACTGTGTTGTGTGGTGTGGGAGATCACACAAGGGAAATACCAACTTCCAAATCACAAATCTCTGCAAAAGCAGAAAGTGGTGAGTAATTCCCTGGCTAAATACCTTCATATAAACCATTCATAGAATAATGCCAAATAAACAAATTTATAAAAATTGAAGTCTGCTCATGGATAATTTACAAACAGAAAAAAAAGGCTAAATTCAAATGAATAAATTATTTGCTGCAAATAATTCACTCAGGTCTATTATGGGACATTGATTTGGTTTCTGGTTAGCTATAAAATGACTGCCTATTAACATTTTACCTTTTCCCCATACACTTTTTGATACATTATTATGTGTTTCTCGCTTGGTTTTATGACTTTTACCTTCCTCTCTGTACATCTGTATGACAGTTTAATTGACTGGTGTGTATTCCAGGGCTCGTGCTAGAAGCTAATTTAAATATGTTACAGCTAATGTTGGTCCTTTACCCATAATAATACACACCACATTTTTATCTTCTTATTGATTATGTGCATATGGCAGGCAAATAGCTGCACACTATGGGTTTTTATTCAGGCATGAATTTGGCTTTATACTGCATGTTTAATACTCAAAGTGCTTTATAAAATAATACCGATTGTGCAATGGCCATGCAGTCAAACAGAACAGCCAGATCTGAATCAAACTGAATCCCCAAGGCCCATGGGTGGATACACACGTGCAAGGGCTGAGGCACAGATGTTGGCAAGCTGAATGTAGCCCATTGATTTCCACATATGTACTGGGCCTGACCTATAGCACTTTAAACATACTTGAACTATATTTTAAAGGCAAGAAAAATGTTTACAGTGCCCCTGCTTAATAGCAAGTGCAGAGGATGTTCCACTGTTATTAGCACACCTAGCACTTACAGAGAGGTTAAACCTGCCAGAGCTTTCTAAATATGCCTCTTGGTTAATGGAGCCACGTTCTGGCTCTTACTGTAATTACTAGGAGCCCCAAACAAGCTGAGTTACCAGGGAAAAGGACAGAAATCTAGATCTTCCCTCTTTTATGGAACATTTGTGAGCATTAAATAATTAGACGAGGTAGCTTAATATTCTCCTAGTATTTAACTTAACATTTAGCATAAAGGTATAAAAAATAATTGCTGGAGGGAAACTTGAGATCATGCATTAGCTATGGTAATCCTGTTCTTATTGTATATAATTAAACTCTTTAAATGTTCCATTAGATGAGATCTTTTGTACTCACCAGCCTCCATCAGGAGGTGTGACTCACGATCATTTAGCTGATGCCTACGGAAGTACTCGCAACCAGAGCCCTGTGTACCCTGCTGTTCCCAGAAAAGTGGGACAAAGGCATCAGCAGGGGGTCAAATTTGGGAAGTGTTTAAGATGACACTAAATTAATGTCGCTTTCTTTTTTCTCCTCATCACCGTTCAGTAGATGACAGGTCATCATCTGGATTGCCTGTGCTCCTGTGGCTCTCATTTTGCACGGTGCTGATCCTTGCTGTGAGTCTCTACTACACCAGCGTGAAGAAAGATGTCAAAGTCCTGGAGGAATTTCAATCCCAACTTGTTATCTTCTTTCTTCAGATAAGACACGTTGCTCAGAAATGTTGGACTTGGTTTATGAGGCAGTAGCAATGTCCTCTGGCCTGACAGACATCTCAGAGCACTGCTAACCAGCACGCAGCAGCACAAAGCTCCCAGTCTACTCCAGCCACGTGCGGGGAGCACGTGAGCATCCACCCCAAACAGCAACAAAAACCCCCCTGTTGTGCACTGTCCAGCAGCCACTTGTTCTCTTTTTTCTTCTTTGTTCTTTTCATATTAGTGGGCGGTCATACTAGCACCTAGAGGTCCCACCAAATTCATGCTCCATCATCCTGAACAGCAAAGAAGTATCTGAATTTTGTCTCCCAAAGAGCTTACCAACTGCTGATATGAGGAGCAGAAGCAGAGAGAAATACATTGATCTGTGCAGGTGGCAGCAAGCTCTGAATAAAAGTCTCCCGAGTCTCAGGTCAAGGCTTTAAATACCCAACCGTCTTTCTCCTCAAGTCTCCTAAGAGCTATTCTGCAAAAGTTAAATTAAAGCTGAGCTATTCCACAAACACTGCTCTGGTGGCCAAAGGCTTGGCAAGCTGCTATATTTATACACCTGAAATGATTATTAGTAAAAAACCAGCAAATGGCTTTCTTGTTTCCCTTCATGCATTTCTTTCCTCCATGGGCAAAAGCTGTTTCTTAATGTTTCACTTGACTCCCAGGTGTGAAAAAGAACATGAAAACTCATTTAAACAGTAAATAGTTTATTTGCCTAACATAATAAATAGCAGCATTGAATCCCAATCTAATTATCAAATCAGTAGTTTAATCCTCTGGGTTTGATTCAGTCCATAAACCCCACTAGCTGAGCTTACAAGATTTATGATAGTGCTTGTATTCAGTCAGAGGTTATGCTTTTAAGCCTGGGTGTTCAAGGTCTTATACAATGGTAATATGGGCTGTTTATGAAGGTGTGGGAGGCAAAGCCCCTTTATCCCTGCATTGTCCCACCACAGTATACACTTCTCTGAAGGGAATCCTTTTAATGGAGATCATGCAATAAATGTGGAATGGTTCTCTGGGTGTCTGAGAGGAGAGCAAGTGAGTGCAAGCTTATGAGCTTCAGCTATGTTTTTTCCCTAGACAAAACCAACACAACCAGCTTTTTAGGCCTTAGATTCTTGTCAAGTAGCACCTGATGTGTGCTTGGGTTTATTTGGTATGATAAGGTTGACATCACCTGTAAGAGCGGAAGAAAAGGAAAAAGAAAAAAAAGAGAAAGAAAATGCTGCAAAGAAGGTGGAAGAGATGCCTGCAAGACCTTGGCTCAAATTCCCCTGCCATCGTAACTCACCAAAAAGAAAAAATGGTGCTTTATTTTTAATTTTTTTTTTTTTTAAAGAGGGGCATACCTCTCTGCCCCTCCAACCTTCTTCCAAGCAGCCCCAGGACTTTAACCAGGCAGAGGATAAGCAGAAGCATATGCAGCCTTCTCACAAAAGGAGAGTGAGCTGCAAGTAGATTGAGAACAAGTCAAAAAAAAAAAATGCAGTTCAAGACAGAAAGAAGTGATTTCAGTGGCTATTCTCATGCTCCTTCTAAGATGTCAAAGGCCACAGCAATTGCATTCGACACGCTGCTGGTCTGGGAAGCAGAGCTTGCTGCAGGAGGAGTGTTTAGCTCAGGGGCTATTTGTGCAAAACACTTGGGTACCCCAGCTCTGAGGGTAAGTTTCACTGCTGCTTCCCTTCCCTCTCCCCCATCTCAGCCCTGCTGTTTAGGTAATAAAGAAAGGTTTTAAACCTGTGTGCTGGTGAATCTCTGATAAAAAGGTTTGGATTGGTACCTGCATGGGGCAAGGGGCTCATTGCAACTTCTGTTTGCATTTGTTAAAGTTTATGGTATTTTTAATGTTCATGTTGAAACTCTGGCAAATCAGTGGCGTTCCTTTTTTAGGTCTGGACTGACATGTCCTCCTGGCACATAGCAACTAGCCCCTTCAAAACAGGAGCCTTTTCTGAAGGGACAGTTCCCTCCCTGCAAGCCACGGCACATTACAACAAGAAAGCAAAGCCTGAACTGACAAGCATCTTAAGAGCAATAGTAGTAGAGTGAACCCTTCTAGTATGTTAGCAACCAGGTTTCAGTAAATTTAAAACAAGCCAAAGGGTTAAGGTAAACCAGGAACTCCTCTTAGGACTGTGAAGGAAAATGCAGAGGCACTGTGAAGTCCATATGTGCGCTCACCTCCCAGCACGGCTCCCCAGGAGATGGGCTTGGGACCACCTTTCCACCAGGTCTGCTTTAAATGGAAAATGGCCACATTCTCCCTGCTGGGGCCCAACTTTATCAGTGTGAGTGAGAACGGCTATCACATCTGGGCTGTCAGGGAAATTAAGCAGAGTAATGGCTATTCTTGGCTTCTGCCTAGGCTCTGGTTGGGACAGTTTTGGACATGGACAAAGGCAGCACTTGAGTTGTCTGTCTCACCATGGCCTTGCAAGGCCTCCCAGGTCAGGATTGTTTGCTGTGGTCAGACAAATACATGGCAGGCTGCAGGTATTATTTATTTTGCAGGCTCCAAAATAAATTTGCTACAAAGCCAGAATGTTTGAAATAAATAAAAGTTAAACCCCATTCCTGGGAGAGTGGTGGCATTTTGCAGGTGAAGAAACTGAAGCCAAGAAAGCCAATGCATCTGTGCAAGTGAATGAAGCAGGTCAGTAACAAGGCTGGGAATAGGAGAAAAAATCCCAACTCCTGGGCCTGCATTTATTTACAGCTGCTCAGCTTCACTGTGGACTTACCTGCTTTATTTCCTTCTCACACTGAAGCTCTTTTCCCATTCACCCATCCTGCTTACACACACACACACACATACCCTTTTCCCACTCTGCCCCTTCTTTCTGTTCTTTATCCATCACAGATCTATCCTCAGCACTGTGAGCTGGATGGGATTTCTTCTTATTCTTGTTCAATGCTGTTTTTCTAGGTGTGACACCTTTGTCAGTTTGTAAGAGCTAATAGGAGCTCTAAAGTTACACCAAATCAGTCATGTTGGGTAATAATTCCCTTGCTGGCCATGCTGGGTAATATTTCCCTTCAGCACAACTCCTGAGAATTGCCCATAAAGAGGTAAAAAAGGAGGAGTACATAATCTGTTGCAAATGGTCGAGATGCTCACCTGAATTCACGCTGGTTCCAGCGTGGTGAATCGCTTTAGAAGTCAAGAATCCTGCAGCCAACCAGCTCTGAGCAATTATTTAATCTAGCTTGGCAATGGTCATGTTTTAGCTTTAAAGGGCTGAAAGAGGGAGTGGTGGAGGACAGTCCTCTTGCAGCAATTTTTGAAGCAGACAGCGAGTAGGTGGACTTCCCAGGAGCAGTGACTAGGGTGGCAGGAGTCAAAGGGCCAGAAGAGAGTAGAAGAGGTCTGTGCATGAAAATGGGCTAGTGGCAGGGTCTAAGGGTAGAAGTCCTGCCTAATATCCCTTAAGCAATGAGTATGAAATTAATGCACACCAGCAGAAGTGCTTCCTAATATCCCTTATGCAATGAGTATGAAATTAATGCACAGCAGAAATCAACAGACCGCAAGAGTACGGGGTAAGTGTTGTTTTGACAGTGTTCAGTACATTCCTGCAGCATGAACAGAGGGCAGCTGCCAACACCCTCTTCAGGCAGGCTCACCACATCAGTGACACCTGATTGCACTAGCAGGAGTATCCGTACCCATACCGTTAGAGGAGATAGAAAAGGACACAGTGAGATGGCACAAGATTTTTTTTACACTAACCTTTTAATGCACTCAGCATTTGTGCTGGTAAAAGGCAGCCCCAAAAACTGCTTCTACTCCCACTCCCTCCATCTCTCCAGCTCTGCTAGTCTGGAAACAAGTTAATGGAGCAGGAGAAGCCCATAGCAGCAATTTTAATTGTCATTTCTGCCTTTTGCCACTTTGAAGCAAGCAGAAGGGCTGGCAGCATGTGACTAGAAAAAGGGTATTACCAGCTACCCTCAAGGGGTAACTCAGGAACCTCTAAGATAATAGTGTGGACTTGTTTCTTATTAATTCCTTGCTCCAGGATAGCTGTTGGGAACCTTTAGGCCCACTTCTGAAGAGGAAGGCTGATGCTACATGAAGAAAATTAACCAGCTGGCATTTAGAAAATGAACATGCCCATGCAGCCTGTGGTCCCCCTTTACATTTGGTAACAAGCTGCCTTTCAGCTGCATGCTGACATGGGAGCATCTTCTCCTTATCTCCTACGGCATTAGGGTTCACTGCTGGAAGATGGTACCAAAAGGGCTCAGGCAGCTTAGGATGGCTGGCCGTATCCTTGACTATACAAGCTGTGGCATGGAGGTGCTGAGGAATGAGTATATGAACTAAGACGCTACCACTGACTTTGAGAACAATTTTTTATCTTACACTGTAACAATTTAAATTCACCTTCAAAAGACAGGCACAGAAATACTGACTTCTCAAATAATTTATTTGTATATATCACCAAATCATAAAAAGCCAATGCACTGTCCAGCAAAAAGCATCAATATATAAAACACAGTAACTCATTGTCAGTAACGATAGAGTGTATCACTTATACTGAACCCAGTCCAGCTTCTACTAAAGCCAAAGGAAACTTTGTCATTGACTCCATTAACAGAAGGGCTGGACTCAGAATTTTTATTTGCTAGGTGTTTACAAAGGGCTATATTAAAATGCTAGTAAAAAGCTTTCCTTTTGAGACTGTATCAAAACAATAATAAACCTCACTCCAGTTCTGTTTCTGTCAAATGCATGCAATTAAAGCTCCAAATCAGCAGTCATTACACTGCAAAAGACCATAAAAATCGAGAGAGAGAATATTCAAAACAGACCAGGCTCCATTCTTAGCTTGTGTGGACTGGCGTGGGCTCCAGCACAGCTCACAAAGCTAAGCTATGTACACCAGCGAAAGACCTGCACCTCTACAGCTTTCAACAGTTAAACAAATTAGGAAAAAGTGTTCAGTTTCATCCCCAAATACCCATTCTGTGGGGACCTCTTTAGCAGCATAACACAATAGTTAATCTAGATTCTTAAAAGCTTT